CCACAAAGGCCCGTCAAGACCGCTACCACCCACGCCACCGGCGAGCTAGGGTACCAGCACCACCAAGCCCACTTCTACTAACCAAGTCCACCCGGACCGCCAACATCACGAGTGTTTGCAAATCCACGCACATGCACCAACGAATTCATTGAAGTTCTTGTCGTCTTTAACGCCAGCTTCTCCACTTGGTGGCAGTAGCCATCTTCACGGTGGCCGGAATCTTATCAGTCACCGTGGCCGGAGTCTTATCAGTCACGGTGGCCGGAGTCTTATCTTCACGGCACCAACGAATAAATGTTTTTAATTAGTATAAAATTGAGTACAAAAAATGTTAATAATTTACTTGGTAAAAAAAACTTATTTATCTTTACTATAGATAAGAGAGGACTTAAATTTGCATGCTTCTTATCAGCTAATTTGAAACCAAGAGTATAGAAACTATGGTTGATAATTTTTTATCAAAAACAATAATTTTTTTTAGTACTTATCAAGGGTCACTACAAGAAAAGAGAATTCTTGTGAATGACGTAATCGTGAGGGTCAATGAGAGATCAATAATAAAAAAAATTATCAAAGTTTTCAAGACAAGTAAACAAATGAGAATCAATAAAAATAAATAATGAATTAAATATATAATATGCAAGCTCAACAGATGATTATTTGACTACTTAAATAGAATCTTGTCGTGTTGTGGAATCCTAATGAAAGATATATAAGCCAAACAATTGATGAAAATATTTAAATTATATTTTTTTTTTTGCTCAACTAAAATAAGATTTTAAGATTAAAAGTTTATGAAACATGACGTATATAAAGAGATATTACTAAATACATCTAGTAGAAAAAATCTATTGGTTAATCACAAAATCATAAAACACGTCATAGGTTATAAGAACAATAAATTGATTGTCAAACAATAGTAAAATATTTTATGTATAAACAAAAATAGATAACAATAGTCAACAAAAACAATTAGAACAAGATAATTAAATAGCAATAGTCAATAGAAACAAAAATTGATAAAAATATCTAACAAAAATATATAGCAATAGCAAGCACATTATCTTAATGTTGAATTGTTGAAACACGAAAACAATCAAACATATAGAGATAGCAATAGCCAGTATCATTTTTGTGTTAACTTTGTTAACAATCTTGGCCATTGATTCTTACAATAAAGGGTTGTGATTAATCATGATAAAAAATTAAAGCTTTAAATTTATAATTTCAAAGAACATATGTGAACAAAGGGGAAAATGTTGTTTAGGTAATTTTCTTTTTTATGTAACTCTCATATCATTAATTGGGAGTTACAAAATCAAAAAATCTCATTATTTTTATTAATTTATTTTTGTTAATGTAAGAACCATATGAACACACACACACACACACACACATATATATATATATATATATATAAACCATTGTGTCAAATACAAAACAAAAATTGACATATATATGAACTTGGACTGTATAGCATTTATGAACACAATATGAATATAATAAGAATAGTTGTTACACGAAAGTAAATAAATAAAAAAACATGTATGAACACAAAATGAACAGTTTGTGAACAATAGTTCGTTCATTATGAACACATTCAGGAGCAATCTAATGTTGAGATATGCAGCTATTGTACATATGAACAGTTTGTGAATAATAGTTCATTCATTATGAACTAATTCAGGAGCAAGCTAATGTTGAGATATGCAGCTAGTGTACATATGAACACAATATGAACACTTGTGAACAATTCTTTAACAATTACATATGAATTCGAATTCCGATTATAGTCGTAGACGATTTTAACCTTTTCATTCTCATTGTTGTCGATCTGTTTTCCAATAGGTTTATCCATATTACTCGGACGATATCGAAATCTTTACAATCAGAAATTTTTTAACAATTACAAAATCAATATCATTATGGATAAAATAAATCGAAATTACAAAACATGAACACGTATAAAAAAATATCAATATTACATAATCATCAATTATTGAGATTTTTAGATTTGTAACTCCCAATTAATGATTTGGGAGTTACATAAATGACAAATTACTTAATTACCCCTGTCATTAATACATGAGTTATATAATATGTGAACTTAAAGAAAAGATGGAATATAATTGGTTAAGTTTGGTTAACAAAGTTAACACAAAAATTTTGGTTAGTATTTGAACCAACCCATACATATATATATAAACAAAGGATCACTACAAAACTAAGCACTATTGGCAACAGACCAAGTTGTTGATGATGCTCGGATCCGTCGTTGATCTGTACATATAAATGTAATATATTTTGATGATACATACATATAACCCATGCTATATGACGGAGTATCGTGTGAGAATAAAAGTTATGGTGAAAAGTGTAAGAAGGGATCTTGACTCTTGGTCACTTTTAGTCTCACCCTCACTCCATGAATTGTGTTTGATACGAAAATTGATTTGTTGCATCTCATTATTGTTGATATTCAGTTATGATTGATTTAAGGGTGGAGATCATTTCGTATCTTTATCGCATAACTTTTATTCTCACTGGAACCCAACAATAGATATATATATATATATATATACACTATATATATATATACACACATATATAAGGATAATTAAAAGAGAAACAAACTAATTTGCGAGAAGATGAAAATAAGTATAGGTCATATAATCTATTAATTAAAAATTACCATAGATAAAAAAAATATTATTTTATAAATTAAGATAAATGCCATTTTAAATTGGATTAATTCTTAAAATTCACATTTATATCTTTTAGATTTTTTTTAATTTAATTAATTCATAATTCTTTTTATCAAAGTTTTATATGATTTTTTTTAGTTTAATTACAAAAAATTCTCAATTTTCAACAAATATCACATGTGAAATTCACAATCAATTCATTGTTTTTTTCACCATGTTTTCTCTATTTTTTTTATCCAAGTTTTAGATCACATATGATTAAACTTCATTTAACATATGATCTATTATGTATCACATGTGATCTACTATGTGTTTTTTGTACATATCACATATAATAATACACGTTTGAATATAGTGATGTATTATCACATGTGATGATGTTTAAATCACAAAAACATATATAAACATAAATATACATAATCACATATGATTAACAAAAATATCTACAATTATCACATATGAAATTAACTGTGAATATCATATGAGATATTTGATGAAAATTGTGAATTTTTTTACCAAAAGTTTATCTATAATTTTTTGTATATAAAACTTGATAAAAAAATTATGAATTAAGTAAAACTAAAAAATAAATAAATATAATATATTTTTTATTTTTTGATTAATAGATTATGTGACCCTAGTTCTTTCTCGCTTTCTCGAAAATTAACCGTCTTTATATTTGAACTTGCCACTATATGTATATGTATATGTATATATAGAGAAGAGGGAGGTTCAAGAGAAAACTCTAAGGCATCGTTTGACAAAAATAAACTAATTAATAAGCTATCTTATTTTCTGGTTACACGTTTGGATGCACATAAACCAACTTATAAGCTAGTTTATTCAAACGTTACTTAAAGTAGTGTTTGGGTAGCTTATTGTAAAAAAAAATTCAATTATAACCCTCTTTAATATTAATTATAAATAAAAATTATTGAA